AACGCTAAGGAGCCAGTTTACTCTGTCCTATAGGGTCACTAGGAGTGGGAATGGACTCAGTGGAAGTTGGTTTGGTTTGGTGGGTTTATGGTGACTTCTTATACCATCAGGGACAGAGGTCCCTCCTTTGTTCTTACTCTGCCACTCTTAACATCTGTAGCCCTGCTGATTTCATAACTCCAGGGCCTGAATCACATTGTGCTGGCATATTTTCCATTTGCGTCTATAGACTTCCTTTCCCTGCTTCTTCCACTTGGTTGGTACCCTTGGAGGCTGACCTGTGTAGACTGCATCACTTGAATCCCCTTACCCTATGATTTCCAGTTGTGTTTGGGCAATGGGAGGTGCCACCAACAGGAAATTAGGGAGTTGGGGTCGTTAGTTCGCTGGTCCCTTGTCATAGCCACAGCTCTTGGTGGCTTGCCTTTCCTTGCAATTCCCTCTCCCTGCCCTGTTAACCACTCCTCCCTCCTAGCCCTTTGAGACTAGAGGTTGTATTGGCTCTCTGCTATGCCAACCCCAGAGTATTTGACCATCTCATACCCATATTCCTTAGCACGGACTACACCATTTTAAATAGTGCCTTTGAAAAACTCCTCCATCACTGCCTCATCTGCGTGAGCCCCCGGCATCCTGCCAGGACCCACACCACAGTCAATACACTGTGCAGTCGCTCTGCACAGCCCCATGGCTGGATTCGACTGCCCAGTGCAGCCTGTTTAGCCTCAAGTCTGCACACGGCTACTTGCCCTTAAGCAACAGGCTGGATTTCAGACAGGAAGAAAGGGCAAAAGGTACCAACTTGCTCTTATCCAGGAACGCAACCTAGGAAGTTTTTCACCTACTTCCCACTCTAACTGCAGGGTGTCTGTCTACAGATGGGAGTATTTCTAACTGGGCACATGTCTGCCCCAAATCAAGCAAAGTCATATTTTTATTAGAAGAGTACAGGGAGAGAAAGCTACAATGCAGGCTACCAGCAATAGCATGTAACAGGTTTGGACTTATTATTATTATTAAGAAATCTGCTATATTCCTTAACCTAGTTCACAACCTGGGGGTTCTTGATTCAACAACATTAATGACACTCTTCACATGTTGAGACCTTACTGAGCGCCTTACATGCATGATGCCTTTTAGCCTGTACGGGAGTCTTCCAAGGGCTTTAGAGATGAGGAAACTGAAGGTGAGGCTGCCAGGAACTTGTAAGGGAAGTGCCTGAGCTAACAGCCATGTCTGCCTGTCTCCGTGTTCATTCCCACTGCACCATCTCCATTCATCTCCACTCCTGTTCTGCTCTGTGCTCTTCCAGGGAAGAATCTGTGTGTACAATGTGGAAATCTAGGTCCTTGATAAAAAGCCGTTTGCATCCTCAGAACATGACACAGTAGAAATAATGGAACCATATACTCTAGGGGTCAGGGAGAAGGCATATAAAGAATAATGACTGAGGGAGGGGAAAAATGAGGACCTAATGTCGGGGGTTTAAGTGGAGAGAAAATGTTTTAAGAATGATGTACAAGTGCGCTTTACACCATTGATGTGTGTGTGGATTGCGATAACAGTTGTATGAGCCCCTAGTAAAATGTTTAAATAAATAAAAGAAAGAAAATAATATGTCTTGGATCATGGGTCCCTCAAAGTAATATCTCTCCTCTTTAGCACTTCATAAAGGTCTTGAACAGTAGATGTGCCCAATTCAATAAGTTATCTGATTTTTTCTTTTTGTATTCAAAAGATCATTTTATTGGGGGATCTTACAACTCATGATAATCCACACATCAATTGTATCAAGCATATTTGTACATATGTTTCCATCATTATTTTTTTAAACATTTACTTTCTATTGAGCCCTTGGTATTAGCTCCTCTTTTTCTTTCACTACCCCCCCACACACATGACCCCTTGATAAAATTGATTTCTTGAATGTTGCTTCCATGAGCATTGATATGAATTGAATAAAATGAAATCTTTGACAACTTCAAAAAATAAAAAATAAATAAAAATAAAGAATAATGACTAGAGATTTTGCTCTATGTTCAAAGCTAATATGAAAGGCAATAAATGGTAGACAGAGTCTATGCCGGGCAGTGTAATATAAGATATAATAATAATTTATAAATTATTAAGGGTTCATGGGGGAGGGGGAAAAAGGAAAATGAGCTGATTCCGGGAACCCAAGAGGAAAGCGAATTTTGGGAATAATGAGGGCAACAAATGTATAGGTGTGCTTTACACAATTGATCTATGTATTGTGATGAATTGTATGAGCCCCAATAAATTGATTTTTTTTAAAAAGAAGAACTTTCAGATTTCCTTCCCGCAAACCTGTGAGCCCCGGTGGTGCAATGGTGTCTGGGTCTGCTAACCACAAGGCCAGCGGTTTGAAACCACTGCTTTCTCCGAGGAAGAAAGAGGAGGCTTTCTACTCCGTAGAGAGTGGTAACAATGGTGCAGTTCCCCTTGATAAGATTAAAGGATTGAACTATTTTTTTAAAAAGGGAAAAAAACACACCACAAATATGTCCATTTTGATTCCCCTCTTTGTCTCACATACTTTATCTTTCATACTTTGGGCATGTTACCAAGAGGGACCAGTCCCGGAAGAAGAATACCATGATTGGTAAAGTAGAGGGGCAGTGAAAAACAGGAAGACCCTCCATGAGATGGGTTGACACAGTGGCCAAAACAATGGGCCCAGTGGGCGGGGCGGGACCCGGCAGGGTTTTCTTCTATTGATCATAGGTGGCTATGAGTTGGAACTGGCCCAATGGCACCTAACAATGACTTGGGCACTGTGGTTGTCATACTTAGTGAACCCGGTTACTCAACAGAACGTACACCAGGTCAGGCATTCTGCTAGGTGAATGAGCAATGCAAAGGAGAAGATGACACTATATGAATGGAATTCAAAAAAGTGTGTGGAAAAATTACATGATCTTTTAATGGTATTTTTCCATGAGCTTTTGGAAGCCCCTTCATATCTGGAGAAAACAGGGATGCACAGGGCTCTGCTGGGGATGCTGTTCACCGTGATCACGCCTTAGGCCAAGCCTGGGAGCATGCCCTATTGCTCATGAGAATACAGTGTTCAGCTAGGGCAGAGGCGGCCCTGGGCCATGAAGTATTGATCATACTATTTCTCAGATGTGTGCAATGAGGTTTGGACCCAGAGTACTTAGAGCACAGCACCCGGTGCTGCCAACAAACCTCCTGACTTCACACAACCAAAGATGAATACCATTAACAGTATGTCTGGTAGCTCAGATGTTCAGTGGAGTTGTTTAAGATAGACACATGGAAGCAGTTAGTGTAGTGGACTAATGGACCATACAAACATCAGTTACCATAGCCCTGAGACCAGAAGAACTGAATGGTGCCTGGCTACCACACCCATGCTCTGAAAAGGATCACATTCGAAGGTCTGGATAGAGCAGGAGAAAAATATAGAGCAAAACTCAAAATCATAAGAGAGATCAAGGCTTATTGGTCAGGTAGAGAATCATTGTTAGGTCTAGAACTGACCTTACCCATGTGGCTCAATTTTCTGTCAAACAATAGACAATTCTGCAAGGGGAACAATAACACCATAGGCTAATCAACCATTTAAGATCCAAAGGGCAGCGTGGCAGTTACGTAATCTGTCAAATTGAGGAAGGGGTGGAGTCTAGCCTGTCAATCAGGTCACAGCTTGATGACCTCATCTGGAGGCAAGAAGGAGATAAATAGCTCACTGAAAGTAGGACATACTCTCCTGTGAGACATTCCTGTTGATAAAACACATGGAGCTACCCTAGAACCTTGGATCTGGGGGAGCCATGTGGAGACCCCTGCCAGCGCTGAGATGCCTCCACTGCCACTGGATCCACAAGACTTTCCACCACTGGCCTGTGATCTTCCTGCATTCGGCATCATTACATGTGTTTCGTGCGTTTGAAGAGGACTTCATAGATTGGTATCAGATATATGGGCTAATATCAGACTTAGGGACTTGGTCTGGACTGGGCTGGGATGTTTCTCAATAGACAGTTGCTCTTTTATATAAAGCTGTTTCTTATACACACATGAGAATTTGTTTCTCTAGTCCACCCCGACTGACACAAGCAGCAATTACCAAGGACAAAGTTCAGAAGAGTTAGAAAAGAAGATGGAACGGAAGCCAAATATGTGGAGGACCTGGGATAAGGGAGAGCCCACTGGGCGATTGCACTGACTGAGATGAAACAAAATGTGTATGGATTGTTGAGTGTAAAACTGATGAGCTGCTCTGTAAACCTCTGCCAGATTCACAATAAAAATGTTCAAACAAAGCAAAACAAAACACCAAACAATTTGTATTGGACAGCATCACTTTAGAGCAGCGGTTCTCAACCTGTGGGTTGTGACCCCTTTGGGGGGGGGTCAAATGACCTTTTCACCGGGGTTACCCAATTCATAGCAGTAGCAAAATTACAGTTATGAAGTAGCAACAAAGATAATTTTATGGTTTGGCCGTCACCACAACATGAGGAACTATACGAAAGGGTCACAGCATGAGGAAGGTTGAGAACCACTGCTCTAGAGGGAGACAGCGAGCAGGGGAACCTCCTCACCACCATTGCCTTGGTAGAATGAGACCCTTGTTGGGCTCTGATTTGAGGAATGACAGAATTTTACGAAGGGAAAGATTTCTGAAGTTAGTGGCTTTCTATTCCCATAAAGAGTTACAGTCTCGGAAACCCATGGGGGCAGTTCTATCCTGTCGCATAGGTTCACCATGAATCAGAATTGACTGGATGGCAATGAGTTTGGAGTTGTCTGAGTGACTATAAAGATATTCTCAAAATCAGTATAAGCTTTATTTCTCACTTCTGCTGTTAAGAGCCATAGACATTCATTCCACAAGCATTTGCCTTTCACTGCTTTGAATCCCCACCAGCCCCTCCTCCCCTCAAAAGTCTCGTTCTCTAAGCGATTTGCTCAAAGTCAGCTGGACGAGGCTGCAAGAGGAAGCCTGGTTGAGCCAGAACAGCCTGCCCGGCACATCTGGAAATGGTTTCAGGGGCCTCTTTGCCAGGTTCCCATAGCAGCTGCGCACACGGGTAGAAGAAACCTGACCCTATCCAAAGTCTACGCAAGCCAAGGAGCGGGTGGAGCAGAAACACTCTCCTGGAAACGTCATATTGGCCTAGCCCTTTGGGATTTCCAAGTAGATCTTTAGAAGCGGCAGAAGCAGACTGAAGGGCCACAGCCCTGGCCAGCCAGGATTTGAACGCCTGCCCTGCTGCTCCTCTGGACCACCAGCCCTGCCCTCATCATTCACCAGGTAAACAAAGACATTTACAAACGGCTGGGCAGGCTTTCCATGTTGCCCTGGTCTGAGCTGTTATTTTGTTTATAAATTCAAGGAAGTCAAATCAGAAGTGTCAGGCTGCCCTACATAAAGTTTCCCTCTAGAGGCGCCTGCGTTGATATTTGTAACATTCCAAGGGAGCCTTTCTCGCCATCACAGAAAATGCAGAGCACACTGTGTAACATTTTCACCTTCGGAACTGCTAATCCAGACCTGGGTTCATCCCAGCTCCCCCTGTCCGCTCCACTCACCTCGCCCCAATTTGTGGATTTACTGTATGCACCAGATTTTAAGCATGGAAATAGCAATTTGATAGGGCGTGGAGAGATAGATGTAAATGCTTAATGCAGGAATGGTTCTAAGTCACACGTGATTTAATTGGGCTGTGCTTCATGTTTTCTGCTTCTAGGCAGCTGCTCTGAGCTCCTCCGACAGGACTGGCTACTGTGGAAATATAAAGGAGAAGGATTATGTTTCTAGTAGTCATCGTATTTGGGTCAGATATGTCTTTTAACACTGAAGAGATGTCTTCTTATGCTTACTTTACTAGCAAGTGTAACACCAGGAATCAGCCTGGCTGTATTGACACAAAAAGAGATCGTGAACACAAGAGTGAAAGGAGAGAGAGAGAAAGCCCACTTGTATCTACCGCGCACATCTGGATGTGCTGTAGAAAGAATCGGCCCTCTCTGGTGGTTTGCCACTGTGCCACATATCCAGAAGTGATACTAGTTTATTTGTTGTCCTCAGATGTGTTGGGGTTGCATTTTTGTGCAATGTCCTTTGTGTATTACATCAGGAAATTCCAACTTTCCATCCAAGCAGCCCTTATAACACTGTGGGATAAGCATTGACCTACTAATTGTAAGGTCAGTGGTTCAAAGGCACCAGCCACTCCTTGGGAGAAAATTAAACTTGTCTGCTCTCATAAAGGTTTATAGTCTCAGAAACCCTGCATGGGGGTGCCATTCGTTGGAATCAACTCACTGGCAGTGGGTTCGGGTTGACTCATCAAGTTAGAAGGAAAGACGCGGGGTGGGTGGTGGATGGGATGGGTTGGACTCGGCCACTGGCAAGCTTTTCACTCGGAGGAAATACATTTATCTGTGTTTCTGTGGCCTCAGCTGTAAAATGGGATTAATGATAGTACCCAGTTCATAGAGTTAAAAATTAAACGACGTGTATAAAGCAAGGGTGGGGAACCTGTTTTTCTGCCAAGGACCATTTGGATTTTTTTGTTGTTGTTGAGAATGAACAGTGTATTTTCTGATCGCAGCATGCCAGACCCCCTAAAACCATTTGGATATTTATAACATCATTTGAGGGTCATACAAATTATCAACTTAAAACTTAGCCAGCTCTATTTGGTCAAGCATTTCATTAACTCACCCCTAATGTGACGGCTGGAACGCTGCTCTGGTGAGGTGTGTGATGTAAACTGATATGGATGATTTAGTGGGCCGCATACGGCCTGCAGCCCAGGCGTTCCCCAGCCCTAGTATAGCAGACGTGCAGGTTAGCTCTCTGGTGGTGCTGAGGAAGGATCAAAGAGACCTCAGGGCTTGATGCTTCTTCCTATTAGCGCTCTGATCTGTTGACCCAGGAGCTGACAGGGCTCTTTTTGGTAAATATACCCGAAGTCAGAAGATTAGCTCTTAGCATCCTTTGTAACATCTGCACAGGCAGAGAAACCGCTTTTGGCAAGGTGAGCTAGATATTCAAGAAATCGTTATTTTGATTTAAACTTGGAAAAATAATGATTGCCCAGTACACAACTTAGGACACTTCCGAAGAAGATCTAGTTCTTTATAAGCGTTGATGGACTCACGTTTTTTTTTTCAAGTGAAATTTTTTTCTTTAACCCACAGGTCACAGTGCTTATCCAAGAACACACATGGCTCTGCTGCGCAGAAGTAAGATGACAATTTATAAAAATAACAATAAGAATATGATGTTTTAACAAACAGTTTTGATGCTGAGTCTTGGCTTAGTTCCAAATCTTATTTGATTTTCATAAATCGTTTTCCCACAGGCAGCTCTTGGCATGATCATTCTAGGGCTTCCTTCAGAAAGTTTTGAGTGTTTTGGCCAGAGGCCTTAGAGGTCAGGAGGGCAAGACTTCATCTCAAATACTTTGGGCATATTGTCAAGAGAGAAAAGTCCCTAAAGAAGGACATCATGCTTGGTAAAGTAGAGGGACAGCAACATATAGGAAGGTCCTTAACAAAAATGGATTGACACAGTGGCTGCAACCATGGCTCAAGTGTAGGAATGGTTGTGAGGCTGCCGTCGGACCAGACAGTGTTTCATTCTGTTATACACAGGTTCACCAGGAGTTGGAACTGACCCAATAACATCCAACAACCAGTCACGATGCTGTACACAGAGGAGTCCTGGCAGTGCAGCAGTTAAGGTGCAAGATGGCTTTAACCCACCAGCGGCTCCAGAAAAGGAAAATGTGGCCGTCTGCCTCTGGAAATGCTTCAGCCTTGGAGCCCTATGGGGCAGTTCTACAGGGTCTCTATGAGTGAGAATCAACTTAATGGCAACAAGTTTGGTTTTGATTTAATGCTATGGCCACAAACCTCCAAATCATCTCAAGTACAACCAGTGATATGTGTATTATGTGGGGGAAAACATTCTCTTCTCCCATACTATATCTCAGTGGGGACTAAGAGCCAGCATCATTGGTCTGGAGCAGATGGTTCCAGAAGTGGAGATGTGGGAGAGGTATTGGAGTCTTCTAAGCTCTTACTCAGGGCCAGAATTTTCTGCACAGCCTTCTTGACCAGTGGAGGAGCAGTTGTGTTATAGTAGTCAGCACATGTACTCATAACGAATACCAGCTCATCATAAGCATTATATGAATGGTGACTTTACTGTGTAGAGGCATTAGACTTTGTGAATCGGAGCACATTATGGATCACTCCATAAAGAATGGGAATTCCAGAATACTTCCTTGTACTCAAGCAGAATCTATACACAGATCAAGAGACAGTCATTAGAACAGAAAAGGTGGAACGAACAGAAAAAGAGGTTTAAAATCAGAAAAAGGTTTTTATTTCAGTCACATCTTTCACCGTATTCATTGAGCCTACATGCCGAGCAAATGGTCTGAGAGACTAGACTGAATGAAGGAGAGTGTGGCATCAGGACTGGAGGAGGACTCATTAGTTACTGAGATGCAGATGACACAGCCTTGCTTGCTGAGAGCAAGAAGATGTGAGTGTTTACTGATAAGATCAAAGTCTGCAGCCTTCTATATGGCTTACACTTCGGTGTAAAAAAACAAAAAGGCTTACAAATGACCCAATCAGCAACATCATGGTGAATGAGAAATACTGCATATTTCCAAGTAAAGGATTTTATTTGACTTGGTCCCACAACGCCCATGGAAGCAGCAGTCAAGAAATCAAATGCTATATTGCAGTGGACACGTCTGCTGCGAAAAATCTCTTTGAAGTGTTAAAAAGCAAAGAAGTGATTTTGAAGGCTGATGTGAACCCGACCCAAGCCACAACATTTTCAGTTGCCCCATATACATGCGAGAGTTGGGCATTGAATAAAGAAGAACAAACAAGAAATGATAACTTTGAATTTTGGCGTTGGTAAAGAATGCTGAATGGAGCTTGGACTGCAAGAAGAACAAGAAATTTGGGGAGAAGTATAGCCAGAGTGCTCTTTAGAAGAGAGCATGAAGAGCCTTCATCCCATCTGCTTCGAACCTGCTATCAGCAGGAACTAGTCTGTGGAGAAGTACACTAGGTTGGGGAAAACCCAGGGTCAGTCAGAAAGAGGAAGATCTGCAAGGAGAAGGACTGACACAGTGGCTGCACTGGCGGGCCCAGACACCACAACGATCGTGAGACGCCCAAGACCGGCCGAGATCTCATTCCTCTGCACGTGAGGCAGAATCAACAGGACCTAACATCAACCAGAAAGAGTGGCTATTATTTGCAATCAATTACGCACCCACAGAATGTGGCTCCCGACGCAACACAATGTCATGATGAAGCTGGGGCCCTGCCATCCGCCTGCTGAGGTCAGCCCTGGATCCTCATTGAGCCAGGTGTCTATAGCTTTGAGCAGCAACAGCGTTTCCAGGCTGTAGATCATTTCTTTAAAGAACAGTCCCCGGTCCCCGCTCTGTGTATCATGAGAGTGTCTGGACACATCATCAGCATAGCCTGTTTCATGGCGTCCACCTCACCACTGTTTCTATTTTTATTTCAGTCAACCAGGTCCTGCTCTTCCTTCTGGTTGTGACCCTCTGCATGATTCTGTACAAGAAAGTTCACAAGGGGGCTGTGCTCAAGAACGAAGCTGGTAAGCAGATGCTGGAAGCCATCCATCGAGATGGGATACCTGGGGACACAGTTGAAGTGTATTCTTTTCTGTCCTCTCGATCGTTTGGTTCAGAGCAAAGCAATAATCCATACAGCTCCTGGGGACCTGCTTGTAGAATATCCACCCCAGGCCGACCCTTCAGCTGTACTCTCAAATGGTGAGGGCTGTTCAAACTTTAGCGTACGTAGCATCTGAAAAATCAGCCACGGCAAACTTCGCACAGCACAGTTCTCTTTGGGCGGGTATAGGCTACCTTATTTAGGATCTGACTCAATAGCACCTGGTTTGGCTTTGTTGGTTCAGTGCTAGAATCTGGGCCTTCTGGTGGAAAATCCGGTATCTAATCCTGGCCAATGCACATCATCCGCAGCCAGCATGTTGCTGTGATGCTGAGCAGGTAGGTGTTCAGTGGAGTTCCCAGACTAAGAGGCCAGGAAGAGAGCTTGGTACCCTCCTTCTGAAAGACAGGTAGTGAGAACCTAGTGGATCCCAATGGTCGGATGGATACCTGATGAAGAAAAATGGCACAGGTCCTGCCATGTTTGTGTGTGAGGTGCCTTGAGTCAGGTCACTAATAGCACCCACCGCGTTGCACAATAATGTCCCGAGGTCCTGTGAAGCCGTATGCCGAAGAGAAGCAGGCTGTGGTTCCATGTCATCTTCTGATAATGATCTCCACAGGAACGTCCTCATCGCTTTACTCCGATCAGCGTGCTGGGTGGCCACTGCTAACCCATTGCAAGAGAGGCAAGTTTTGATTCATCCCTAGTCCGTTCTGGGCAAGACGGAGTTGATGTGTTTGGCTAAAACAATCTTTACTTGAAAGGGGATACAAGGATTTAGTCTTGGGAGAGCAGACAGCTCACCGCTGTTAGGTGCGGGCATGGTTTGATAAGAGTTGCTTGTAGGCAGGGACTATGGGTGATGTAGTTTCTAGTCCAGTTCTCCCTTCCCTCTGTTTTTTTGTTTGTTTGTTTGTTTGTTTTTTAACATTTTATTAGGGGCTCATACAACTGTTATCCCAATCCATACACACATCAATTGTGTAAAGCGCATTTGTACATCGTTTCTCAAAACATTTTCTCTCCACTTAAACCCCCGACATTAGGTCCTCATTTTTCCCCTCCCTCCCCGCTCCCCCCTCCCTCATCAGCCCTTGATAGTTTATAAATGGGTATTTTGTCATATCTTGCCCTGTCCGGCATCTCCCTTCACCCACTATTCAGTTGTCTGTCCCCCAGGGAGAAGGTCACACAGAGTTCCATGTAATCGGTTCCCGCCTCTGTTGTTTTTGAAAGCCTTTTTGGACATCAGATGGGATTGACTCAGGCATCAGTTGGCACAACTGATCCAAATAATACAGCCAATTGTTCCCAGAGGAGTTGCCAGGTTGTTGTGTTGGTGAAGACTCCACAGCCGATAGACCTTCCTCGCTCTTCCTCCAACACTTCTTCATTCTGTCTAGAGGAGACTTCATGGAAGGGTCGTATTTTTAGTATTGCTGAAGCTAGGCTTCTCTGAGTACCACTAGTATTCTACTTAAGGCCATCAAGTTGATTCTAACTCATACCAACCCTATAGGACAGAATAGAACTGCCCCTATGGATTTCTGAGATTGTAGCTCTTTATGGAAGTAGAAAGCCTCATCTTTTTCCCACAGAGTGGCTGGTGGTTTCAAACAGCTGACTAGATTTCAGTCCAATGTGTAACCACTATGCCACCAGGGATCCTTTGACTACCAGAGGCACTTAGAAGTGTGATAGTGTCATAAAGAACTGTCAGCTCCGTGTTTGATTTTCTCCTGTGGTGCTCATCTCTCATGGACCCGCCTTCCTACTACCTCCTTGTGCCTACTGCCTGCTCATGGCCTTTACCAGAACCAAGAAGTGCCCTCCCCTTTCAACCCTCCCTCTCTCCTTGCACCCCAGTTATAGCCCACGAATATGGCTTCTTGGGACCAACCATAAATCTCAGTTAGTTCATTTAAACCAACTTTTATTGAGAGCTTCCTAGGTGCCAGGCTCTGTCAGGATAGTCTCATGAGCATACAGTATAGGGAGGTGGCACACACAGAAATAGATTCTCCCGGTGTGTTCACTGTGTTCCGATAAGATGGTCAGTGTTCAGGTAGAGCAGGCCGAAAACTCATCCATCCATCCATCCAAAATGTATTGAGAATATACCAGGTTGTGGGTTAGGTGCAAAGGATGCAGAGATAAACAAGATACCACCCCAGCCCTTGTGGAACAGGGAGTGTGAAGAAAGATGTGACAGCAACTACATGGTGATGCAGTCGGTAAATTCAATCAAGGAGTTAGCCACAGGTGAAGTGGCATGCTAATTTGTGTAGGGAGCTATGAAAAGCTTCCCAAAATATCAGATGTCTGTCTGTACAGACAAATAATTAAGAGGTGTTGTTGTTAAGGGCCCTTGAGTCAATTTTTGATTAAGAGTGACCCCAGGTGACAGAATAGAACGATGTCCTAAGTCTTCCAGGCCGCTCTCATGAAGGGAATACACTGCCAGGCACTCATTGCTTCACCAGGGCTGCTTTCAGCCCTGGGAAAAGAGGCCAAGAGTATCCTAGGCAGCAGGAACAGCCTGAGCAAAGGCAGTAAGGTAAGAGATTACATGGTGTGGTAGCCCAAGAACCACCCAGAGGAGGGAACTGATAATGGCCAGGAGTGCGGCATGAACAAAGGCTGGTTGATGAGGAAGCTTGTGTCCTGAGCGAAGGAATCTTACTTTACCTTCTAAGAACCTCAGGAGGATTTAACGCAAAGCTCACTGCCATTGAGTCAATTCCAACTCATAGAGACCCTGTAGGTCAGAGCAAAACTGACCCTGTGACTTTTCGAGGCTGGACGTGTTTTTTTTGGTTTTTTTTTTTGGTCTTTCAGGTTCTCTTTAATACTGAACACTATTCCTTTTACAGCTATAACATGATTTCAAAAGAAGGAAGAAATATTACTAATGCACTTCAGGATGTAAGAAGACTACATTTAAGCATGGCTAGTTGAATTTTTTTTTAATCATTTTGTTGGGGACTTGTACAATTCTCATCACAACCCATCCATCCATCCATTGTGTCAAGCACATTTGTACATTTGTTGCCCTCATCATTCTCAAAACATTTGCTTTCTACTTGAGCCCTTAATATCAGCTTCTCACTTTTCTCCCTCCCTTCCCGCTCCCCCTTCCCTCATGAACCCTAGATAATTTATAAATTATTATTATTTTCTAATATCTTACACTGTCTGACGTCTCCCTTCACCCACTTTTCTGTTGTCCATCCCCCAGGGAGGAGGTTATATGTAGATCCTTGTAATCGGTTTTCTCTTTCTACCCCACCTTCCCTGCACCCTCCAGTTATCGCCACTCTCACCACTGGTCCTGAAGGGGTCATCTCTCCTAGATTCCCTATGTTTCTAGTTCCTATCTGTACCAATGTACATCCTCTGGTCTAGCCAGATTTGTAAGGTAGAATTGGGATCATGGTAGTGGGGGGAGGAAACATTTAGGAACTAGGGGAAAGTTGTATGTTTCATCGTAGCTACACTGCACCCTGACTGGCTCATCTCCTCCCCACTACCCTTAATCATTTTATTGGGGGCTCATACAACTCTTATCACAATCCATACATACATCATTTGTGGAAAGCACATTTGTACATTTGTTGTCCTCATCATTCTCAAAACATTTGCTCTCCACTTAAGACCCTGGTATCAACTCCTCATTTTTATCCCCTCCCTCTCCGCTCACCCCTCCCTCATGAACCCGTGATAATTTATAAATTATTTGTCATATCTTACACTGTCCGATGTCTCCCTTCACCCACTTTCCTGTGTCCGTCCCCCAGGGAGGAGGCCATATGTACATCCCTGTAATTGGTTCCCCTTTCCACTCCACCCACCCTCCCACCTCCCGGTATCGCCACTCTCACCGCTGGTATTGAAGGGATCATCCATCCTGGATTCTCTGTGTTTCCAGTTCCTACCTGTACCAGTGTACATCCTCTGGTCTAGCCAGATTTATAAGGTAGAATTGGAATCATGATAGTGGGGTGGGGAGGAAGCATTTAGGAACTAGAGGAAAGTTGTATGTTTCATTGTTGCTACACTGCACCCTGACTGACTCATCTCCTCCCTGCAACTCTTCTGTAAGGGGATGTCCAGTTGCCTACAGATGGGCTTTGGATCCCCACTCTGCACTCCCTTTCATTCACAATGATATGATTTTTTGTTCTTTGATGCTGGATGCCTGATCCCTTCGACACCTCGTGATCGCACAGACTGGTGTGCTTCTTCCATGTGGGCTTTGTTGCTTCTGAGCTAGATGGCCGCTTGTTTACCTTCAAGCCTTTAAGACCTCAGACACTATATCTT